TTAACACCACTGTGTATGAAATCGAATGTCTTGATTAAAGTTAGTTTTGAAGAAGAGGACCTTTTTAATGTTTTACTATTAATTCTTTCTGCTAGTTGGGTATCCAATTTAGTACATTGATGATGTTTTAGCAACTAGATTTATTTAGAGTACTCCAATAATTTTTCTGTAAGTAAGTTGTACATTATAAAAGACATCATAAGCACCTCTTTGCTGCTCTTCTGCATAGACCGGGATCTTGGCAGTCTGGAAAGCAGATCAGAAGGGTAGACTACAGCAATCTCCATTGCACCAACATGATGCTTCTTCACCAATAACAGCTTGTGTTTTCAAACCACCATCAAGCCCTGAGTAGTGAGTATAAATCAAGAAGTCACACTTTTGTGAGTCAGTTTGTGGTAGTGATTATTTAGTGTTAAGCCCTGACTAGACAAAAACAATATAACACAAGCCTTTGGAATTATACTTGGGCTTAACCTGCACTATCATTTACAGAAAGGCTTGCCTGGTTTAAATTTTAAATTGTTGACCTCAAATTAAAGCCACAAAGCTTTTAAGATGTCCAAATCACTCTGGACTCCACAAATCATTTTGGAGTGCATGTCTCTTTTAATTGTCACACTGGGTTTGTGAACTATTCGGAACAATCTCTCTAATAGGCCATTTTCAAATTGTGCAGTTTCAGAAAATAGCCATTCTTCCCCCACAGAAAGGACTGGAATTTCCTTGGGGGTTAGGGGTTTTGTAAAACCAAAATATTTAAAGAAATGTATGAAGCTTAATTGGGATTTTCAAAGGGGTGGGATGGGGGTCTTAGAAAAAAATCTCTTCTGTGGGGGAGGTATGGATATTTTCTGGAACTATACATTAGAACTACGTGCAGTGGAGGTCATTAGAATTTTTAATTGATATATTTGATGCAAAATGACAGCTAGATGTAACTGTCATCTTATTACAGTTATTACATGGAAGTTATAATATTACTGTGTTTTACAGTGACATATCTAGCTTGGCAAAAGCAGCTGTGGCAGGAGACGAGGCTGCATTGGACATGTTAAGTTGGCGGAAGAGCAACAAAAGCACATCAAATACATCATCTGATTATTCCTTCTTTTTTGGAGTCACAGATGGTACGTTTATTCTTACGAGAGTTTCCTCAGGTTTACAAAGCTCTAATGTTCACTTATCTGGCCAGCAACTTTTATTCTATTATAATAATCACCAGTTCTTAAAATCACATGCTTAGTTTTCTTTCTTTATCTTACCTTTGTTTTAGAAATATTTATAGTGAGAATTGTGGTCACTGTGTTAACCTCAAAACTGCATTGTCTCGTGTTGACATTATTATGTGGTACGTAATCATGTTTCATGTTCAACGCAGGTTCTGTTTACTATATGGATGATAAAGGCCGTTGTTCGCAGTGTTTCACTGCAGAGGGTCCTGTCAAGTTCTTGTTGTACAGTGAGGGAAGGGACATGATTGTGGTAGTTACAGAAGGATTGATCCTCTCACAGCACAGAGTGGCACATGATGGCACTACATCAGAAGTTGCTAAGGTCAGAGCTGGAAATAAATTTTCACATCATTCAATGTTTATACCCACAAAGGAGAATAATATTGCATCAGACACATTTGTAGAGTTTGTATCCACTTTTCATACTCTGCATAATGTCACATATTTGGAATTATTATAATTCTGCATCTTGTTTCTCTTGAGGAATGATTCCTCGCTTGAGAGCTTCAAATCCTGTCTCGAAGACAGGATTCTCATCTTGTGAGAATTACCGAAGCTGCAATTGTCCTATGTTGTTTTTAATATGTTGCTACATGGAGCTAAGAATTAGAGCTTTTTTTCTGTCACCATAGTCATCAGAAGTTTATTTTCTTGATTAGGTAAAACTTAGTGGGCAATCTGGTAAAAGTCAAATAATCTGGGCTGGAAGGCAAGTGTTAGCCACTGCATCAGAGGAAAATGTTGTCAGGTAAAGTTAAAACTAAACTAAAAAAAAATGTTAAATAAATTAAAATATTTAGGGAGGAAGCCACATTAGCCTTAGCTGGTTTTCCAGTTTTTCCCAGTTAAAATGGAATTTGGAGATGTTGGATTTTGTGGAGGGAGGATTGGGAAACCAGAGAATCCGGAGAAAAACCCTCGAAGCAAGGCGAGAACCAACAACACACATATGCCACCAGGCTGGAATCAAACTCGGGCCACATGGGTGGGAGGCAAGCTTTCTCACCACTCTAGCATCCCTGCTCCCCACAACTGGTGTATTTCCTTGGTTTATTGATTTGATGACTGTTTTCCAAGACAAACAGTTTTACTGTTCTGTTCTTACTAATTAAATCATTCTGTGTTTGTTTCCATTCAGGATGTGGAATCTTGAGCAAAACGACAACTACATACTTTCTGTTGATGGCAGTGGCTTTGAAGCTGGGGAGGTTGTCAACTGTATATCATTCAACAAAGTTAAAGGTAAGGTTTTTGAAATAACTCTGTGTGACCTTTTTAATATTAAGTAAGTAGGAACCACTGTGGTTTCTAAAGGTCACATAAGGCTTTTAGCCAGGATTAGGAAAGTGGGTGTCCAATATATGAGGCAACATATGGAAAATAAACAATTTTCTTTTAAAAGTGGTGGTCCACAGGATGCCTGGACACCCATCTGGCTAAAAGCCTGGGTCACATGTATTCTTAACCACCACTTGCAAAGGGCACTGGAGGTGAATGTTTGTTGACTAAACATGCCTTGTTCATATTATTTACAACTCCAGGTATTCTGGCTGGGGGAACAAACAAGGGAAAAGTGGCCATGTGGAAACATGTTGTGACTAAACCACAACAGAGAAAGCTGGAAGGACAAGAGAAATGGGATTTACAATCACCAGCTGTTTTGGAGGGAGTAACACAGTTATCCCAAATACAGGTGAGAAAGAGTTTGAAAGGCACAGGGCATAATGGTTAGTGCGCTGGACTTTGCATCTAAGCACATCGTTCCAGTCTTGGCCAGAGTTCAATGCCTTGTGTCCTTCGAGAAGACACTTATCTTACTTAACTCTCACAGTGTCTGTTGAATAACAAGTACCGGCATGGTATTGTAAATGTAGGGGGGGNTCACTAACAGAGGCTCAGTCCTCGACTCAGGCTAGTTTCCATAGTGTGAAACAGCCACAGCTACACCTACTCCTCTATTATTGGTGCTAGTCTGTCACGGTTTACCCCTACAGTAACCTGAATATTTTATAGGTTACGTCAATTATAATTTTACTGGTACCCATTTATACACTTGGGTCAAGAGACGTAGATACTGTGAGAGAAGGAAACACAAGGCAGCAGATGTGGCTAATGGGAATTCTCTCCTCTGAATCTTGAAGCTGAATGAAGCGAACATCAGGATATGGTCTACAGCTTTTAGAAAATATACAGTCAGAATGTATTTTTTATTAGGTTTAGGAATTTGATTTATAAATAGCAATCAATCAGACAGAAGATGTGACAGACTGATTGTTATATATATGTAAATGGTTTCTTGTTTCTGTTTCAGTGGGGTGGCAACAAAAGTCTCTTGGCTGTGAACAGTGGAGAAACAGTGATAATTCTAAATGAACAAGTTATGAATGCTCACTATAATCATGAGGTAAAAAATTCATTTCATCACTGAAGAAGGTTATAGTATTTTAGCTGAAACGTCTATTTTTAAGATTTTTAAGTCAGTGACAACAATTTTTAAGATTTTACTATGAGGTAAGTAACACCCCAACCTCCAACCATTAGTGATACAAATAGCTTTTTCAAGCAGAATCTCTGCTCAAGCAATATACTTTCACAGTAATATTCATCTTCTGGACACCTTCTACAAGGACTTAAGCTCTGTTACAGTGTGGACACTTGAAGCATGCACACTAGATATTTTTGTACATTTTTTGGTAACTCTAGAATTTCAGGGCTCTTCATGTAGTTTGATGATTAGGCCTTTTTACAGTGTAAAAATGCTAAATACTTTTGTCAATATGAAGAGCCTTTATTCTGTAGTCACCCATGTACACAAAAAATATCAAGTGTTCCTTGAACACATGATTGAACACTAAGAGAACTTACACATATAAAGATAAGTAATTTACTGTTTGTAATCTCATTAACTACTAGTGCCACTTACATGCTATAATGGAAGGCTGAAATGATACTGTCCAAATAACAATAGATTATGATTAATATAATAATCAATAAATAATAATTATTATATATTCATCTTGCCATGTTTTAGGTTGCAGGGGTTCAAGTTTCACCAAGTCAACTAGCCATTGAAAATTTCACAACTGACTATCATCAAGATCTCAAGACAGATATTCATATCAAGGGAGTATTTGTAACAAAGGTGAAGTCTTAGCAATATTCTTACACTCATCATAGCTTATCTAAGTATTATCCTCTACACCTGTACCTGCTGTACGTTAGATTTCCTCGGGCTTCTTTCTCGAGCAGCAGCTGGTAAGCAAGCCTATACCCAGGGCTAAACAAAAACTTGAAGACTTCTAGATCTTGCTTTCCCTGGGCAAATCGTAGTTTACTTTTTTCTGTTTAGTTGAAAGGCAATTTGCCTGGGCCCTTGCCCATTGGGCAATTGAGAATGAAGTTACTAGCCCAGCAGGAAAACCTACTTGTACTTGTCCTGGATGACCAGATGACACTTTTTTCGAGCCCTGTATACCTGCTGATATTTTGACAGAACTACACTAACATAAATCTTTGGCATTAGCATAGCAGGCAATACCTGTTATCAGTTGACCTGCCACTCTTTAAACCCTCTATTGTTATCTGTTCTTGTTAATCTGCACCTCTTTTGTTCCTAGGGCTAGGGGCATTGTTTGTGTTGTTTACCTTTATTTGTTTTGTTTGGCCTATCATAATTAAGGACCTTGTAAACGGTGCAGGTTAGAGATTACCCCCTCGCCACCAAAATCAGACTTGAATGTTTCCTACAAAACATGTGAGGTTTTTTTTTTTTTTTTTTTTTTTTTATAAGAGTTTATTATAATTGGGAGTCATTTCTAGCTGGTAAGCTGTCAGTAGTGCCAAATTAATTTATTAGAGTTTTTTTCCCCATTGATTTAGACACACACCGCAATATGGAATGGTAAAAAAGTGGTGGTATATGAAGTGGCAAGTGACAAAAGCATGGTCAGAGCAGAAGGCAAGTCTTGGCTTTTTTAAAGGAGCTCTGTCATGTTGCTATGTTTGACTCTAATTTGTCATTGTGCTTTTTGCTATGCAGGTTCTTTCAGTTCTGATTCTCCTGTTGTTGTTGCCCATGAACAAAGTGTTTATACTGTAGAGCCAGGAAAGATCCATGTCAGGACATTTCAGGTACTACAAAATAAAGGATTTGTTTGCTTTTTGGCTGTGTAGTGAAAAAGAATCCTATAAAGGTTTGGCGTGTTTTCATGTTCTGTGTTACATGTTTGCAGGGGACAGTCAAGCAGATCTTGCAGTTTTCAGAGGCAGAGGGGGACCCCATTCTGTTAGATGTGTGTGGGAATTTTCTTGTTGCTGGAACATCTGTGGGTTATATCAAGTTGTGGGATTTGTCAAGAAGGTAAGAAGTATGTTGTGCAACATACAGTAAAGAATTATAACAGTAGATTATGCCAACAATCTATCATGCAAAAAAGCTCGATGAGCAAAATACGTAACTTATATTTAAAGTGGCGTTAGAGTTGTGAGTTGTGTATGTGTGGTACATAGTCATAGTATTGTTATTAGTGTTTAAGTAGCGTACCTTGTATTCCTAGTAGTACTGAAACTTGTAATTAGTGTGCTAAAAAAACATTCAATGAACAAATCAATTTAAAAAAAACATATCGTTCTGTGTGCATTGTTCGCCCATAACTTCCAATCACACCATCGCGCTTTCTCAGAGGTATGCACTATAACAAGCATTAGGGAGCTTTACATTAACAGTGACACATTTTTGGATGTATAGGGAAGCTAAACAACACTGCAATCCCAAGTCATTAGAGGAAAGTATAGCAGGGATCGGCAAACTCAAATCGGTCAGATGCAACTGCAATGGAACCAAAGTTAGCATCATGTGTGATAAGGTGAGACAAAGCTTGTGGACCTCTCCGCATCCGAATCTTTTTTATTCTCTCCGCATTCGAAGCGTTTTTATTCTTCACACGGATACATGGGCATTGGGAAAGATGACCTGAGGCTGAGATTTTGAAAATATCATAGTTTGTGGGTTGAAAATTTGTAAATACAATACAATTATTCGTTTTAAACTAAAATTAAAATTCTTCCTTTCTCTAAACGGCAAAACTAGCCAAACAGCAATTAAAACAGCGCTAGCCGTATGTTCCTTGCTAATCATATTTCAGCCTAAAATCGGCAGAAAAATAAGAATATTCAGCCTTGGCTGGAAAAACAGTATTCTTATATAAAAAAAAGAGTGTTAGAGGCCTGTTCAGCCCATTCAGCGGTCACTGATTTCGATTCTTATCTAATGTCTGTTAAGGCCCAGTTTATTGCTCTTCTTTAAAAAACTGAACTCCAGTTTTCAAAAGCATGTAGCGAATAGGAGCAGTGCAACCCCTCCGGGATGGGATGTTAGCCATTGCAGGACACCCTTAGAGTCCTGTTTGGAAACCCCAACAGTTCATTGCCACCTATTCTTTTGCAATGCCCATGGGTGGGGAGAATCTTTGCAAGGGTAAAATATCTTGTTCATAGGCCAGTGTCTCAACCCCTCACAAGCACGATACACTTGTGACTGTCACTATAAAACAAGCAATATTCACCATACTGTAAATTATATTTTCCTTTACAGGCAAACAACTCTCCAGATAGCAGAATTTATGTCTGGGACATAGAACTTGACGCTTTTCAATCATTTGACTTTGCAACGGGCCTCAGCTTAGGAGCAGATGAAGGCGATAAAGAAAGCCCTGATATCATGAACAGAGCACAGCAGGCAGCCGAAATCGCTGGCCGGAGACCTTTGGCACAGTTTTGGGATCCTACAGAACCCAAGTTGTTAGTCTGCGAGGCTGTACACATTCCAGGAATGTTACAGGAAACGTCAAACAGCAAATCATCCTCGAGGAAACCTGTGAATATGACTGCTGCGGATGCCAGTAGAGAGGTCAGATTACAAATTATTGTAAAGAGCTTTTTACATAATTTATATATAACAATTTAGGAGCCTCAAAAGTAAGCAAATCTTAGCTGCATAGCATTAATAAGAATTTCTGATCGTTAGCTCGTTTGAGTCAGTAGTGGAGCAAACGAGCTGGCTTGTCTGATGGAAGGATAAAGTTGTCATTTATTCTATTCGGTAGCTAGTTACATGGCTCTGTAGCGTGCAGAAAAAGAGTGCTTTCGCTAATTTTTTTAGGCATTCGTCATACTCAAACGCGAAAATTCTTAAAAGTAATCCGTCTATCCTGCGGACATTCAAGTGTATTAGATTTTTTAAGCTTTGCAAACAGAGAACTTTACATCTACTAGAAAAAATTACGCGGCATGAAGCATTCAGTTGCTCTATGAAAGAATGTGTATCTTATGTATTGACGCATATGTTTCTTGGCTCGTCAACAGAGTGATGTGATGGTGATATCGCTGTTCAGTACTCCAGAAAATGGCATCTTAATACAAGACTTCTTTCCAATTGACTCAGCTTACTTCAGTGAGTTTTGTTCAAACCACCCACCTTTGATAATAATCAATTCACTACATATTAATAGTCAGAAACATGTCCTTTTCAAGTCAAGCCAAGTCAAGCCAAGTCAAACTTTATTTAGGCAGGGTGGCCCCATCAGCCATTGGCCGGTGGTATCAACAGGGGCCCTGCGTAAGTTATGACTACTCAATAAAATTTTTAAATATGTACAAGAACTTTAAAAGCGGATAAAAGGGAAACTTAAAAATACAAATGGATCACAAATTTGAGATTGAGAAGAAATTGGTACATAAGTTACATAAGTACATAATAAAGAAGAACTATTCCTTGGTAAAAGCTGTTTCTTTTTCCTCTAGGTTTACTTGGAGTTCAAGTTCCCTTCTTCTACCTCGTTAAGAAGGTTGGTGTTTTGACAATTCCACCCTCCCCCCCTTAATTGTAATAGCATGTTTAATAGAAAACACACTGCCAAAGAATACGTTCAATTTACTGACAAAAATATTCATTCAAGGGCCTTAGCTAAGTGATATAATATCGTTGCTTGTTGCATGATAGCGTAAAACTAACCCGACGTTTTGCCTTTTTCCTTACTGCCCTCTTTTCTGTAAATCGTTTTTGTTTCTTTGTCCAGATGAACTGTGTCGCAGTATCGCTTATTAGTAACTTGTCTCTCTGTTTCCGTCCTGCGGTCGTACCCATTAGTTTCTTGGGGCCCGTGTCTCCAAAGCCCCGGAAACTTTACGGGCCCGAAAAGCCATTTTTAGTTAATCGGTATTTTAAGACAGAGAGGTGTACACGCCTGAAACTTCTTGTACGGAATGGAACCTCTGTTTCTATTTAGAATATGTTAATAAATCAGCTCTGTAGTCATAAAGTTTGAGATTTTGCTACGGCCTTTCGGGTGCGAAAACTTTTCGGGACCTTCGAGAAACGGGCCCCAGGTCCCCAAGATATGTAATAAGCCAATTCCGAGTTGCTTTTTGCCTCTGTTTCAAAACGAGTCCTGGTGCACAACCTTTCATATGGATATGAGTTTGATTTGCTAGACAATGAATGTGCAAGAAAAACTCGTTTTTAAACACTCGTTTTGAAACTGAGGTAACAGCAACTCGGAAATGCCGTAGTATTCATCGTGTGTCTTTTCATTAGCTTGCTTGTAATTAAAACATGTGTGATTTTCTTAAAGTTCGTACGCCTCCTTGTTCCGCGGGAACTGCAACAAACAGTTTTTTAATACTTTTTCAAACCAACAGAGCAGTGAATTAGAAGGCCCCCCTCCCCCTGACCCGCCATCATATGCTGCGACGAACATCCCCCTCCCTGACAAACACCACATGGTCACTAAACACACCATGAGGGATTTTATTGGACTGGAGAAAGCTGACGTGGAGGCCAGAAAAGCCATGATGAACTTCAGCTATCTTTCCACCATTGGAAACATGGACGAAGCGTTCAAAGCCATCAAGTTAATCAAAAGGTACGCACCAAACAGGGCTTGTTATTACATTACTTGCAGAAAATTTTGGACGTTTAATTTTCGGACACTTTTTATCTCACTTCGGACGAATTTCGGACAACGATTTCGGACACTGCTGAAACATAGCTAAAGTAAATTTGCGCCTGCAAAACACCAATCAGACTGAAACAACATCTGTGAAAATGATCGTTTTACTGTAGCTTCAAGGTTTTACGAATACACCGACGAGTAGATAACAAATTCTATCAAGCCGTTATGTATGTCAAGCAGTGTCTCATCTAGACTTCGCTCCATAAAGCCCGGCATAAAGAAAAATTGTGCGAAACATCTCAGATACGTGTTTCATTGCTCAACAAACTGTCAGCGTGTCGTATTTTAAAGTTGGAAGAACTCTGGATGTGTGGTGCATTCCAAAAAGTCGGAAGTAATCTTCTCGAGCTCAACCAAATGTAGCAAAACCACTTACTTATATTGCAGGATTATGACAGGTTACAACGAATTCCTAACCATAAGGCGTATATGTGCATGATGTCAATTTGTTGAATACTTGTTTCTGTTTCAAGTTTAATGATTTCTGCGGCGATAGATACAAGGAACAACTAAAGGAGAACTCTTTGTAACTTGATCTTTTCTGTGATAGTGAGTCAGTGTGGGAAAACATGGCTCGCATGTGTGTCAAGACCAAGAGGCTGGATGTGGCTACTGTTTGCTTGGGAAACATGGGAAACGCTCGAGCTGCTAGAGCGCTGAGAGAAGTGCACAAAGAACCTGAGCTGGACGCTAGAGTGGCTTTTTTAGCTGTACAACTTGGCATGATCGTAAGCATTAATTCTCCTTACTAGTTTTTATATATCTCTTCTTATGTTAATCCTGAGATTTTGGTGTTCTATCAAGACAATGTTTCCTAGGTGAAGATTTGGTATATTCTCATTACCTCTCTGCTTGACATTGTGTTGATCTTATGCACAACACTGCACTGCGCTGCGCTGCACTGCACTGCACTTCACTGCGTTGCACTACGCTGCACTAGCTGCACCAGCTGCACTGCAGTACACTACGCTACAATACAAACTTTATTTAGAGAGGGTAACACGAAGAAGTGGATTACACTTTTTAATCCTGTGGCCTTCCTTACTAAAACACAATAGAAATTACATATATCAACTCTTTTTTAAAGAAAGTCCGACTCATAGTTAGTTTCCTTAGTTCTTCTCTTTCTCGGGTTAAGGTAACTTTTGCTGCAGAAATAAAATAAAAAACCTTTGCGTTAAGCTAAATAAGAACTTCCTTTCTTTCTTTAAAAACAGGAGGAAGCGGAGAAGCTATTCAAGAACTCTGGACGTTTCGACTTGTTAAACAAGTTTTACCAAGCCTCCAATCAGTGGACTAAAGTAAGACAATCCGAAACCTCGAGTTAACGAAATATACGTTAAACTTAGCCTCCTTCGCGACGTTATAATGGCTTGTCACGCCTTTCTCCCGGGGAAGGAAAGATTGCGTGACGAGCCCAAAGAGCGTGTAGGTAGGAGACTACGTTAGATTAGTCTCTTACGCCACCGCTTTTTGGTCGTCACGCAATTAGTAGGGGAGGAGCGTTGCGCGACGACCTAAATGACGGCTGCGTAGGAGACTAACGTTACATATATTGTAACACAAAACGTGACATATGGACTAACGTTACATATAATGCAATTCAGTTTGTACGTTTAATCTCTGTGCCAGATTGCGNGGATAGGGAAATTCTCTTCACAATACCAATGCATATCTGGCAAACAGGTGACGAGAATAAAGAAAATCATAAACTAAGAGATATTGTGTTCATGTATCACTGAATTCTCAGAACTGATATTAAAAGAACTGTGTGACTGACAGTCAGGAGAATTTACATTTTGACCTTGGTACTCAAAGGATTAACTCACCCTGCCATTAGGGGTTCTTTTCTTTTCTTTTGTGGAACGGGGAAGGAAATAAATTTTCCCCTTCCCACGCTTGCCGAAAAAAGAACGCCTGATTGCTCGCTTGGGTTAGCTGGGCTTTGATTGGCCAGATGGTGAGACACCACCAAAAAAAAGTTGAAACTTTTGTCAATAACGCCACGGCTTGTTTGTTTGCTTTTCAGCTTTGAGAAGGCAGACACACATCGTTTTGAAGTGCCAAGAATGCTTTTGGAGGAACCTCAGCAGTTAGAAGCTTACATCTTGAAAACAAAGGACAAGTACGTGTATTCCCATTGCTTCAGACTCGTGATATTGTAGGAACTACCTCACGGTTTGTGCAACTTGAAAAGCTAAGGCTAAATCTTTCAAGTTCGTTGTTTGTAATCCGTGTTACTCTTCTCCGTCCTTAATCATCCTTGTTCCTGTATAGCTTATTACTATTTATTTGGCGTTTTTCTATCTTACTGTCTTCTATCTTACTATCTTAAACTGCTATTTTCAGGATTCCTTCAATTTAAAGGTAATTTTCCACGTGGCCAAAATAACTCAAAATACTGTGACTTAGCTCCTTAGACTGCATTAAGTATACTTTGGTTGTCTTCGTAAATACTCTTCCTTTCGGACAAGCGTTTGTAAATAGACCGCAAAGAAAGCGATCTTTAGATAGACTACGAGTAGTCCCTCTTTCGCTTAGTTCGTCATGCGTGACGCGAAAGAAAACCGCGGGGAAGAAGTGTCCGCGCGAAATCCTGGGGGATTTCGTCCTCCTTTTCTTTCGCGTCACGCACGACGGACTAAGCGAAAGAGGGACTACTCGTAGTCTAATCTTTAGAGGGAACGTTAGCATATCACTGACTAACTCGATGTGTCTATCACATGTTCTTCTCTCAGGGAGCTACGCAAATGGTGGGCACAGTACATGGAGAGCACAAGCGAAATGGAAACAGCCCTGCAGTTTTATGAAGCGGCTCGTGATAATCTCTCGCTGGTCAGAGTTTACTGCTACTGTGGAAACTTAGAAAAGGTACGCTCCACCTTGCTATGAAAATAAATTTGCTTTCCCAACTACTCATGAAAGAAGTAATGTTTCGCACTGTTTTCTTTAACCAGTCGCTCCGCCCGATTTTTCGCTCCGTTACTTGAGCTGTGTACTGTACGCGCGAGACATTTCGTCACTTGCCAGTCAGCACTAAGCACTGTTATCCTTCGCGCGCGCTGTTTTCACTAGAATTGTCAGAAATCATCACGCGCTTGACGTCATAATGAAAACTTCTTTAACTTTGAGTTTTCGTATTTTCCTTGTTGTAAAAAGTAATCGTGATCATTTGGCGTGCTCAACTTTTCCTTCCTCGTGCTCACAAGGCCAGTACTGATTCCTAACGCTATTTAGAGGAGCGGTGTTTGTCTCGTAAATATCCGGGCTTGTATTGATACATAATGCTCAGTATCTGCAGTTAAAAAAGTTGACACTAACAGATAGTCATATCTTTTAATACAGGCAGCAGAAATCTGCAATGAAACAGGCGACAGAGCGGCCTCGTACCATCTGGCCAGGCAGTTTGAGAATCAGGTAAGCTCGAACTCTGGGAAGGTCTCAAATTGACTCAAATATGTGGTGTATTCCCACTTGAATACCAAAAAAGTTGTTTTTTTATATATATAAATTTGGGACTTTTTTTCGTTTAGGAGAAAGTTCGAGAGGCTATCCACTTCTATACACGAGCTCAATGCTACAGTAACGCGATACGACTCGCCAAGGTGAGATACTGTAAACGACGTTATCACTTTTCCTTTTAGTGATAAGTGAAATTTGGACTTAACTGGGTACACTTGGACAAATTGTTTTTGAAGTCGTCTTGGAGGTTTTTCCTTTTTAAAGTCTTTTCAATGGCTCCCCTTTATCCTTTACAACGTTCTTCGAGAGCAGAGCTCACATTAAATTTGTTAAACTGATGATTTTACCTTGTTGAAATAATGACTATGTATTTACACAACATTGTGAAGTCGGCTTAATTTGTCATTTTTTTTTTCAGTCAAACAAGCGAATGAACAACACGAAATGTAGTTCTCTACTGTCTTTCAGACTTCATGAACTCATGCTTGTTACAGAAATTGAAGTCTGTTTATTTTTATGCCACATTAAAATATAAGAAAGAAAACGGCCTGAATTTTCTATGGATGTTTTCTTGCAGGAACACGGGCTGGACAATGAACTGATGAACCTCGCGCTACTTAGCTCTCCAGAAGACATGCTGGATGTTGCAAGGTAAGGAAATAAACGAAGTTGCATAGCTCAACATTTTCTACTTTTCTTTTAAAATTTTCTTGTTTTTTTCACCTTGCTAGAAGGCAATTTATCAGCATTTCTTAAAAAAATATTTCCAACGCTTTTCTTCAGTAGCACCTAGCTATATGGTGAAAAAAGTATCTTCACATGGATAGCCACACACGAAAATTGGCAGCTATTTTGTTTTTAAACGCATTTTAGCCGAAAATTTAAAAACAAAAAAACAAAAAAAACCAATAGTTTGGAAAAAAAAAAGTTTAGCAGAGCGAGGTTTTGATCCTCGGACCTCTGGGTTATGGGCCCAGCACGCTTCCACTGCGCCACTCTGCTTGTGATGTATTTTGTTCTGAAATAACAGAGATTTATAATTTCGTTCTGATGAAACAAACGCCTTCTATTGCATCATCCGTGAGTGTAAATGGAGTTTGCATAAATTACGCGTTAATTCAATTACCATGCGAATCGTTCAGCGAGACGAAAATAATTTTTAACCAAAACGGATTTACGTACTCATTTTACTGGTTGAAACTGGCGAGTAACAAAAAAATCCACTTTAAAAGATAACTCCAAGTTTCTATTCGAAAAGATCAGTAATTATCATATAAATTGTTTAGCGAGATAATTATGCGAACTATGCCAAATGACAATAAAATCTTTCTTTATCCACGAATCCATCTCATGATCCCGCACAATGCAATGTTCTTCCACGGAGCCGTGAAAACTGTTTCAGTCGTCTTTTCGGCGTGAAGGAGCTAAACACTTCAAGCTAAAAGATACCCGAAAAGTTAATAAACAAGAATTTTCGCTGGTTCTGATGTCTCGCTCAAAATCAAACACCTGTCCCCGGTTGTTCGAAGGATGGATAACGCTTTTCACGGGAAAGTCACTTTCCAGTGGATAGCATAGCATGTTCTATCAACACTTAAAACTGCAGAGCGATTTATCCTTAGTAAAGCGTCATCCACCCTCTTAACAACAGGGCCCCGTCCTTCAGACGCGTAGCATATTTTGACAAAGGTTTCGATTCATCGTTTATGTTTCCTTTATTTTCACGCACAGGTATTATGAAAACCATCCCAACATGCAGGATAAGGCGGTCATGCTTTATCACAAGGTATTGTTTATATTTTTTATCCTACCCAAGAGAGATCAACAACTCATTGTTTGAACGAAAATGAATGAATTACCAGGAAAAACATGTTTGAAAATGTTTGAAAACATCCTTTGGTAGAAACAAGTTGAAAATGTTAACTGTCGGTTGCCGGTCATTTAGCGAATGTTTTGTTTTTCGTTAAAGATTAAAGACTGACAGCTGAAAGTTATTTATGTAAACTTTTTCGATGTAAACGCTTTTATTTTATTTGTAAACGCTTTTTTTCGAGTCCCATTCTCCTTCAAAGGCAGTAAAAATGAAGAAAAATATAAACTATAATTTGAAGTTCATGGAACAATTTTAATCACATCGCGATAACGAAGACAAAATGCAACTTGTCTTCACTGTTAATAATCGTGGGTCACTTTCCTGTAGCGCGGTTTTTTGGCAAAAGTTTGTTGATTTCTCCGAAAGGTTTCCAATTTTTGTTATCCAATCAGAAACTATAGGAGTCCTGCGATTCTGTCATGGCAGCATGTTGTCATCAGAATATGTCTTGTTGCTTAGCAACACGTTAGAAAACTGCTGGCTCAGGCAACCCTCAGAGACTGCTCCCTTTCAAAGCAAAAAGGGGAGTTTTTCCACGTCTAACGTGGGATTATTATTTATAACATCTTTCAGGGCGGTAATGTCACCAAGGCGCTAGATCTGTGTTTCGCTACGCAGCAGTTTGCGGCTCTTCAAGTTATAGCCGAGGACCTCGACGAGAACACAGACCCAGAAATGCTGGATAAATGTTCCAAGTTCTTTTTAGAGCATGAACAGTACGACAAAGCTGTGGAGCTTTTGGTTGTTGGAAAACAGGTAAACGTTTGCGTTTTATATGCTGATGTTTATCGAAAGCACATTCGTTATTGATCTTGTCACGCGTTTCAAGGCGTCGCGTGACACCTAGTAACAGCTATGATAAAGTGTCCTCGTCATTTAGAATGTTGGTAATTTGCAAGTTTAGTTTCTTCCATATCAAGCAGTATATGCGATATACAGCTCTAAAAGCTCTTCACTTTATTTATTTATTTTTTTATTTTATTTGCAATAACATAAGGGAAACCAATGCTTACTTACAACACTAACTCTATTTACATTATATTGCTCTAATTATTTACACTATTTAAATTACAATAACTAAACGACTTACATTACTAACAAATACAGTTACACGACTTACACAATTAAGAAATACAGTGACGACAAGGGGCAAAGAAAAAAAAAACTGAGAAGAGAGCTTCACTTGATTTTTGTTTTAATCTCAAAACCTCCCAAAAGATTTGATAAAATATGCCTTTGCTTTGTCTCTGTTAGTTCTCGGAGGCATTGGATCTCTGCATGAGTCATAACGTAACAATCACGGAGGAATTAGCAGAGAAGATGACCCTCCCTAAGGGCTCTGATCCCGAGTTCCGAAACAAACTGCTCGAGAGGATCGCTGACTGCTGCATGCAACAGAGATCTTATCACTTGGCTACCAAGAAATACACGCAAGCTGGAAACAAAGTCAAGGTAGGTAGTACTCTAAAAGTCTATGTCTGCCCCAGAGTCCTCATCGTGGTTTCTGTGGCGAATAACAGGTCATTTCGCTCCTTGGTTAGATCACTCCAAGTCAGTTCGCTCCAACCAAAAGTTAGATCGCTCCTCACAGGCCGAGTTCGCTACCTCAGCAAACCGAGCCTGGCTTGGCAGTGGATGAAAGAACGAGGAATAAGCTATTTGCGGGTTGGAGCTAACTGACTTGGAACGAGTGACTTCAATAGAGCGAAGTGACCGGATACCTCTGTGGCACTAAGCGACCAGGAGTATGTCTACCCCCCATCCATAAAGCAAAACGCAAATCCAAGTCCATTCTTCCCTTGGTTTTGTGTTGTTTGAGAATTTCAAAATTCCCAAAACTGATCAAAATGCCATTTCCCCTTTGTACTTTCAATACTACGTCAAGCAGGCAAGTGACGAGAATATGGAAAATCATCAGCTACGCGATATGTTGTTGATTTATTACCAAGTCCTCAGGACTGACATCGAAAAAAGTGTATGGTAAGCTTTCAAAGGGGATTTGTATTTTAAACTTGTAACTTGCGTTCTCTTCCCAGGCAATGAAATCTCTCCTGAAATCTGGCGACACAGAGAAAATTATCTTCTTCGCTGGTGTTTCGAGACAGAAGGAGATCTACGTGATGGCGGCTAACTACCTTCAGTCTCTTGACTGGCGCAAAGATCCCGAGATTATGAAAAACATCATTGCTTTCTACACCAAGGGCCGAGCGCTGGACTCGCTGGCTAACTTCTACGATGCTTGTGCACAGGTGTGTGAGCGTATCTGATTATCAAGGTGGTTTTCAATTTGTGATTTGAATTTAATTGAAAACAAGATAGACAAACGAGATTTATCTGACAAGTCTCAAAAGTCTGCACGCCTCGTCACATGTTTCATGTTTACTTAGCGTCGGTCTCCCGCACTTGCCGCTAGTTCCTTGTTTTCCCGCGCTTTCCGCCGGTTCAATTTTCTCCCGCGCGTTCTACAGGTTGCACGTTGTCCGCCTCAAGTTAGTAGTAAAATGTTTCCAGATTTCCCGCGCTCGCCATCCGCGCTTGCAACTGGTAACAAAATTTCCCGCGCCATCAGCTGGTTACTGTTGATCCTTGCTTGTAATTGGCTAACAAAATGCACCACATGCTTTTAGCTCGAGTTTTGATTAGGTATCCCCTTTTTTCTCGAACATTGTAATCAGATTGGTTTTAGTTCTACAATAGGGATAAAAATTTGATTGATTGTCACGTTTATTTGTATTTTCATTTAGGTGGAAATTGATGAGTATCAGAACTATGACAAAGCGCTCGGAGCGCTCACAGAGGCGTATAAATGTATGGCAAAAGCCAAGACGAAAAACCCTACCGACCAAGAAGAGAAGGTGGCTTTCCTTAAACAGAGAATAGGTTTCCTGAAGAAATTTGTTCAGGCTAGAAGGTAGGAGCAAATTACCATAACTCCTCCATTTAGTCTGTTTAGCAGTTTCCATCTCTTTTCTTTCAATTTTTCTCTTTTGCTTGTACCTTTTGTAATTTTGTTGTAAATTATCATTACTTTTTTTTTCTTTCCTTCCTCTTGTCCCCGCCTCGATTAGTTCTGGAACAAGTTGCGGGGACAAGCAATTGTAGCTCAGTGTATGAAAGAAAACAAAATAAAATTAAAGTTCGAAAATTCCTCCGCCTAACCAACCCTCCTTCAACATCACTGTTAATAAGTCAATAAATAGTCAAGGAACATCAAAGCAGTTGACTATTGGATCAATTCGGGGAAGCTACTGCTTAAAGTCACAGAAATGACAGAAATTTTACGTTTCGCATGGTTTCTACTTAATTAACCTCGTTAACAGATGACAGTTTTGTATAATGTTTGCTCTGAAGAACAAAAAATTTTGTCATGCTATTGTTGCTAGTTAACAAGGAATATGCAGTTGAAGCAAAAAATATGAAGCAACAGAATTTAGAAACATGATAAACAGTTCGAAAGAGAGGGTAAAAGTTCTACTTTAACAGCATCATCTCTGCTGAAAATCGCAAGTTTAATAAATTCTCTAACCGTAAAACGTCTTATTATCGTGAATATTTACCCTTTGTAATATTACATTGAATTTTTAATTTTATTTATTTTTTGCACTGTTTGATCATGAAGAACATACGACGAAGACCCAGACGAGGCTATCAAACAGTGTCACATTCTTCTTGAGGAGGCGGATCTCGAAACAGCTGTGCGTGTTGGCGACGTGTATGGAATCATTATAGAACACTACGCACGACAGCAGAACTACACTAAAGTAAGCACTAAGTAATAAACATGATTGCAACCGTTCCCTTGTGAGCGAAGAGTTTCCCGCATTCTGGCCGCGCGAATGTTAGGGCTAGAGCAAAAAAAAAAAAAAAAAATCAGAAGAGGTAAGAGGGGATGGTGGGAAGGACAGGTTGCTTTCTCTCTCCCATCCCTCCTCCGATTCAGTTTTGTTATTGGGCGAATTTTTGCACGGTCAGAATGCAGAGGACTCTTCGCTCATAAGGATAATGCTTGCTAGGCAGGCTATCAAGTTACGAAAGCGTTAAGCAGGTCCATTGGAAAGCCTAGTTTGTTTTTCTGGTTCGTGTACCTTCAAAAGTATCATCAAGTCTTCATTTTCGTATGAAATTTTCGCCGGTGCCTCCCATTAGTTAAGTTTTTGAAGTTTATTTCTTCATTTACTGTGTCCTCCGTTGATAAAGCAGTGCTAAATATTCTGTCTTTTGAATATTCCTTCCCTATAGGCGTACTCTGTGATGGAGGAAATGCGGCGGCGAGTGCCTAATGTCAACATGGCGTACTACGTGAACATGAAGACGATAGAGGCGACCCACAAGGCTGTGGGAGCCCCACTGATGCGAGGAATGGGTGCTGAAAAAGAAATCCGCGGGGAACTGGACGAAGATGAAGGAGAAGAAGTGGAGGAGGAAGTGGAAGAGGATCTGATGAATGGACATGATGATTACTAGGCACCAGGGAGGGACGAGAAGAGAAGAAAAGAGAAGAGACGGACTAGAATCTACTGAAAGTGATGGCGGTTTTGGTGACAGATTTGCACGGTCTTGGTCGACAGTAACATTTCATGAAGAGTGAAGTAGTCAATTAGGACAACTGAGAAGACGATGATGTTATAGAATTCGAAATGATGGGCTCGCGCGTTGGTAAAGCTGGTTGTTACAAAATACCATGAGTAGTTGCTCCATACTTAAATTATTTCTCGTTTGGACAGACCGATTTTCTTGGCGCAACGATCGACGTTATGGATGTTTCTTAGTTAACGGCGAGTATGGGTTAGGTCATGGTTGAAGTCGTGATGGAACTATGCGACTTTAGAATGGTGCGGTATAGGAGTAAGACAGACAACAACGAGGGAAAGTTAATTGCAGATGATTACGTGAAACATTGAACTCGGACTCGAGGAAAGAGAGAACTAAAGGGCCTTAAAATCTATCCTGGCGGAGAGTGTCTCCGAAATTCACCAAAATCATCGATGCCCATAAGCTACAGGGCGAGAAGTTGAATTAGGGGAAGAGGTCAAGATTACGGTAGATTTTCGTTGAGTTTGCGAAATATTGTACAAATTTACATACATAATTAACATGATTCATTTCACTTTTCTAATCCAGGAAACAAGTGTCGGAATCAACAGCCGCGTGTTGCTAAGCAACATGGTCAAACTGACATAACAATGATCGTGTTCTCGTGCTCTTTTCTGATTGGACTAAAAGAATCGGAAAATCTGCGAATGCGTACGAACTCTCGTGCTTTCGACTTTGTTGTTTTAAAAATTACAAGTTCTGCAGTTGGATTCACAGTTGTGATAAACATGACATTTAGAGAAATTTAGGACCACGTTTGCTTTTTCTTGAATTATTAGCTATCAAAACAACTGGGAGTCACATCCACAACAAACTAGAAACATTTCGCTCTCACCCAAGAACGGCAAACAACAGGCGGCAACTGAAATAACAGAGGGTTATTTGCCATTTGTGGGGAGAATGAGATGAAAATTCCAGACGAAGCTTAATGTTTTGCTGTTCGACTAAACTTTTCTTTTCATGTATATGATCTTTGAACAAACCATCAGCAGGGTGATCAGTGAAACCAAGACAGGTTGAAGGGTAAGAGAGTGAATTCCCTACATTTGCCTGGTTTATTCACAAGTCAATCCCTCTCAAGTTACATTTAAATCACTTCCAGTTCTAGAAATCCCATCGGTTCTAGAAATACCCACACCTGTGTCGCGGATTGTGCTCACGTGGACAGCCCGAGCGGCTTTACACGCATTGTCATTCTCCACGAAAACATCCACGCCACACGCGTGGTAACATCCGCGCAAGAACTAGATACCACGTCTAAAGAGAACTAAGAGGGATCTTGAGAATAAGGTCTATACGTGGAATTAACTCTCTTACTCTAACCCTTCATCCTTGGTGAAAAATTACACATAACATCATAATTTCGTGCGTTGAGTATTTTGCCTTTTCTGCGGTCCACTTTTCAAGTAGACGGTCTGAAAAGCAATATGCTCGATAGCTCCATTGAGTGCACAGGCACAGTAAC